CTTAAGTGGTGCATTTGACAAGACAGAGCTGACGTGTTGCGTCAGTCACTGCCTCAGCTCCGGTCGGGTTTTAAATTTTTTTTAACTCTCTCTCTCTCCCTCTCCATCTCTCTCACACACACACCTTAATCAACATTGTTTTGCTTAACTTTGTGCGGGAAAAATGCCAAGAACGTTAAGAAAAATCAGTTTAATCAAATTAAAATAAAAAAATATATAAAGTTGTGTCTGGTTCTAGTATTTCATATTTCCTAGTACCTACTGCATGAGTTCAGATGTATTAATTCATGCACTTAAATAATAATGTTCTGGTTTTATTGAAAAACGTGTTCTGTAATAGTTCCTTTGTGATAAAAAATATTTCATCTCAGTTCTGAGGCTGCTCTGTAAATAGTTTTCAAATAAACAATACACATAGCAACTTCTGATCAATCCATATACATTTCAGATTTAAAATTATGTATTGATGCAAACCACACCCACATCCGATTAAACCACACCAACTTCCGGGTTATGCCACACCCACTCCAAGTACAGATACAGATAATTTAGATGGTTGAACACATACAGATACAGATAGTGGTGTACTCGCTCATCCCTATTATTTTGCATAAAAACATCACTTTGAACAAAGTGTGACAACTTCCAAAGGAACATTTTATCTTTAATAGTGTGAATTCATGTCTACATGTATGCTCTCTCTGATAAACGTTTAACACGGCTGTGGATATTGGTCGTTTGCACTCTTCTCTGTACTCTCTCTGAGATTATGAAGCACACAGTGTGGCAGTGTGGATGAAGTGTGCTTTTCCACTTTAATTTTGCATGTGACTCCAAATCCAGACCTCCATGGGTTGATACATTTGATTTCCATTGGTTATTTTTGCGTGATTTCTTTTGTCAGCATATTTAGCTGTAAAGTATTTAATAAAAATATTTCATTAATTCAGATCTAGAATGTTTTATTTTTGTGTTCCCTTTATTTTGTAGGGGAGCAGTGTGTTTGTCTGTACGTATAAAAAGAAAGAGAAACTAAGAAAAAGCTAAATTTTGCCACCTTTCTTCACTAATGTGTTGCTGCTGCAGCTTTCCGCAACATTAATATGTAAATATGGAGACGTAAAACAATTAATGTCTGGCAATCAGTGTCTAATTACAAAATCAAATCATTGTTTACTAAATGTGAAACCCTGTTTCAGGATTAGATTTAGAATTTTGATCATTTAGCTTCTGTAGACAATGTGGAGATCAGAAAATATTGTCAGTTCATGATGTCCAGCTTTTAAATTTCTGATGACAAATATGTTGTGCAAGTGAAAACAGCAGACAACCACTTGGTGAAAAGAAAGAAGGGATAATTTTCCACCCTGAGCCCTATGGCTGTCTCTTTTGTGTTTTGTATCTTTTCTGTGAGCATCTGGCAGAGCAGAGTTTTGCAGATCTCTCCTTCCATATTTCTTTCATTTTTCTCTATTGGTTTCTGTTGAGTTCTGACTGAGGAAACTTGGCAGACAATTCCAGTCGAGCAGAACACCATGCTCAGATGCAAGACTATTCATTTTAACAGGAGAGTGTCAGGGAAGCAGGCCTTTCTGCTTCTGAGGCCAATTTTGTATGAGGTATCCATATCATCATGAGATCAACTTTAAAAGCTGCTGCCTGTAAGATAAATTCCTTTTCATTTGTTTGAAAAACATGTTGGACAGAAGATAAAGATGACAAAAAAAATTACTTTCACAGTGACAATGAGGGACCGTCTCTTTTTAAAAACAATCAATACAAGTCTCTTTTGAACTTTTACACCTTGAATCAGCTCAAAGTGTTGCAGATGGTTAGCGATGGACATGACTCATCTGAATTTCAAGGAATCTAACCGTTAACAGAGCTTCTTTATGAGGAGGAGAGAACAACCGTGACTGGATATCAGGTCACATTCAGGTTGGACACCTAATCACAAACCTGATAGAAGTCTTGTCAGGTAATTTTATGCACCAACGACTTCAGAAAAGCCTTCTGATATGTTTCAAAGCTAAAACAGACATCTGATCTGACCAGCAGGTGTTCCCTTTATGACAAATTACACTCAGGGTAGGGTCAAAAATAATAGGACCACACCAAAGTCAACATTAAGCTTCCCTCACGGTGACAGATGGGACTTCTGCTCTAGAGTGGGTCCATTTCCTGCCAAGTTATCTGCCCTCAGGGGGCTGAATTAATTGTTCTAATTTCTAATACAACACTATGGGCTGAATAATCTCATTCTGGGATGTGGCTCTTCACAATCACATGATGACGACTCCACTGTGATAATCAGGCAATTTGAGGAGAACAAAGCCAGATAAAATGGGTTTAATTTTGTTGATTACATTTTGTGGATGGATTCATCTACAGGCTAAAAATGATGCAGATTTAGAGAAAATGACTCATTTTAAAATTCTAATTGGTCGTGCAAGATTTGACTTAAACTTTGATGCAGCATCCAGTCAGATGTGTTTTTCAGATATAACAGAGGTCAAGTTTCATCATCTTAATGGGACACAATCATGTTTCCTAAATTTTTTAATCCAATAACGTCCCTTATTGCTCTCGACTTCCTGCAATGCCCCTCTATTTGATAAAAGACATTTAGATAAAATGTTTCACTCTCAACCCTGAGACCGCTGCTACTGTAGCTAATATATGAATGGACAAAGTTCTATACGTGAAAATGTTTTATTCATAACGAAATACTTCAAACTACACACACAAGACAGGACTTGGACTATGGCCAGATGTTGAATGTGCATGTGGCAGGTTGAAGGACTACTGCATATAAAACTGTTCACTTGATACTAATTCATATCATTTGATATAAGAACAGAAATAATGTAAATATGGGGAGAAAATGGTTAAGAGGTTATTATTTGTCATGTTATATTGATGGTTTGCATGTTATTTAAGAGAACTGCAATCTATACATCAGTGATCGGCTAATAAGCCTTTTCTGGAATCGATTAGTAGTGTCTCTATTCTCCACTAGGGGGTTTTCGCCCGTTCTCCTCACTGCAATAAACGACTGTATGAGAGACGCAAGTCATAATCACTCTCGTGATTCTTTTCCCCCTGTTTTCAGGTAAAAGTGGTTAAAGGTTGATATATTCCCAATGTGTATACTGTTAAGATATTTACGAGGTAATTCTCCATTGTTTGTAAGCGTTAGAAGTATTATATTACAGTTTTGTGCACTTATACGTGGCGGTATTGAGCCTCGATTTTGTACTGCGTAATGGCCAGTAGGATAATGGCAGGAGCTAAAAATGCCGCTGTTGTCAGACATTTTGTCAGGAAACCTGCTCCAGTATATGTACAGTAAGCGCTTTAGTATTTCGGTTTATTAGTGTTTTCTTCCACCATGTGACATCTAGCAGTACAGAATGTGAGATGTTTCTGTTCATTTTGACTGCAATAAACGACTGTATGAGAGACGCAAATCATAATCACTCTCGTGATTCTTTTCCCCCTGTTTTCAGGGGTGTAACATTTGGAGGCACCGCTGGGATTGCTGCTTAGATGTCCGGTGTCCATAATCTGCACATCGTAGTCCAAAACAGCTAAATTCCCCCATACATCCCAGGCAGACTGCAGCAAGGAAATTGTTGCTGTTGAGGCGAACTGGTAGCTGTGTTTTAGCGCATGTTCCTGAGGCCATCCAGAGATCTTCGGGGGCTGCCAAATGACTCAGCTAAGTGTCACCTGTACATGCAAAATTCTTCCTGCCTACTGCCACAATGTCGTCGGTGGAAGAGCTGCGAGAGCAGGTTGTGCGTGAAATGCACACCATGTCCAAAGAGCAACTAGTGTCAATCTGCGAGATCCTGGGCATTGCAGAGAAAATAGATGTTAGCGGACAAACACGACTGTCACTGCTAACACACATCCAAATATACATTGAGAGAGAAGATATAACAGAACTTGAGGATGAAGGAATGTCAGAACTGTTGTTGCTTAAAGAGCGGGTCAATTGAGCCTCGGAGTCCTTCTCTACCCACGTATCAATTTTAAAAAAATGCAACATTAGTAGGCGTTGCCTGGAGGACCGAGAGGGCGGAGCCGCGGCAGTGACGAAGACGACGGCTAACTAGATGATGCTAGCTCCCTTCACTCTATGCAGTTATTAGAAGTGGAGGACGTTTCTCCCCCTCCTTACCCAGACACTCGAGAAGAAAGGAACCAAGTCTATTTGGAGGAGACAAGCGGACCTGAGCCTTATTGTTGTGAGTTTGTGAGTTGCCTGTAACTCCCAGAACCGACCCAACAGAACCACCTCTGAACGGTAAGTAGCCGTTAGCCATAGCATTGGATTAGCTGCAGGGTTTGTCTCCACGGCCCGAGAGAGCTAGTATTCAGCATGTTTTAGAGGTTTATCTGCTTCAGCACACCTGGTTTTAATCAGCAACAAATAGCTGAGCTGCTTAACAGTTAATCTAACTTGTTAAAGCAGGAAAATCCACTGAAACGTGCTGGATAGCAGCTCTCCGGTAGCCCTGGGCTCAAGTTACAGTCTGCTGCATAAAGTTATGAAAATACCCCATGAGAAAAGTATTCTGTAATGTGTTCAGCTCACTAAAACTGCCCTGATTTATTTATTTACTAATAACAGCTGCTCTCTTGGTTCTAGGTCCTCTGGTGTCTGCAGCTGGTCTCTGGTGTCTGCAGGTGGTCTCCTCTGCTGGTGTCGTCAGGATCAGGAGCTTCCAGAAGAATGTGCCTTTCAATGACTCTTTCCCCCTTATTTGTTATATTAATTAAATAAATCTCAATTTATATATTTCCTGTTTTTGTTCATGTCCATAAATACTTAAACATGCTTGAAATTAAAACGAGCTTTTAACAGTGAGGTGCTGGTTTAATTCATCACAATAGAGCTAGTTAAGCATGCAATGTGATAATTCAATCAATGTAATTTATAAATATCCATTAAAATATCAAAACTGGAATTAAAATGAGATATTTGGCAGCACAAAAACTTGTCAAACACAATATTTATTATAATAATTGTAGGCAGACAGGAGACAGAGCTGATGGAGGTTCTCAGTCATCGAAGGATGGCTGAAGGCTTTGCAGGAACAGGAGATGTGGTGTTGTCTCTTCTCTCTCTATTCTGCCAGATGAGCTGATAGGTTACAGGTGTGTGAGGACATCCTCATGCTGTCATAACCAGATGACAGAGTTATCAGGTGATCAGCCAGGCTAATGAGATGCAGAAAGAAAACAAATTCAGGACAGTGTACAATATGTGGTGTTGCTCACCTTATGTGCTCTTATAGAGTTATTAACGTGTACCTGCCTCATGGTGTAGAGTCCATATTTTGCTGAGTGTCCTGCAATAATGCAGGTTATTAGTTAATTTACTTTTGATAGCAAAAACAAAATATTTAATGTAAAAGTTGTTTTCCAGGTGAATCAGCTCACACGTCACCACCAAGTGTCACGGGGGCAGAATCAGTAGTCTCCTTCATGATGTCATGATGTAATCACATACTTATTTAATTGTTAATATCTTAAAAATTCTGAAATGTTTAATTTTTTTTTTTACCTTGAACAGTTCACTGAGCTTGCACTGTCACTGAGGTGGAAGCTGGAATCAACAGCAGACACCTTACATCTTGGTCTTTTCAGGGGGTGTGGATGCTGCTCTGGGACTATCTGGAAGATAAATTTCCGTCATGGTCCCTGTGTCACAAGACACACTGCGGCTGTGAGCTCCATTCTGGCTGGCTATGTAAAAACAAAGAAGCAGCACATTTGTAAATGTTTAAAAGAGCATAAAATCACATGTAACAATAATCTGTAAAACAAATTAAAACTAGAAGGTAATAATAAAATGTTTACATATACGATTATTAAAAATAATTCACCTTTGCTACAGGTAAGGCTTCACGTCTGCCTGGACAAGTGCATTCTTGCAGCTAAATCAGTCTGACAGCCAGTGTCTTGGGTAGATTTAGCCTGAAAAAAAAATATAAGCACATTGTTGTTGGGAGTTTATAAAGTCAGATAATATACAAAAGAATCTCCTATATAGGCGCTTTATAACATTCCTAGTGTGTGATCGTTGTTATAACGTAAAAGTCAGTCACACATGATGTGGAGAGCCTGAAATGTGACCTCCTGAACAGAATTCCTTACAGAACCGGGTCAGAAGCTGGATTTCACGCTGTAATGCTGTCTGTCAACTAGTGCTGCGTCAGTTAGAGCCACTCTTGCAGAATTACCGACTGACTAGCTAAAGGAAGTGAACCACATCTCTCAGACTTTGCATTTAGGTACGGAATTGTCTTTAGAAGATGTTAAAACGTTTATTTAGCGTACTCACCTCAGACTGGAGCCCGCCGTGGTGGGGGAGCAGAGTCGGTGGGCTGCATCTAAATCGCGGAAAAGCCACGGTGGGCAGCCTCCCTCTTCAAACGGAGGCGTGCAGAATCGCGGGTAAAATGCCCACAGAGTCACCGCAAGCATACTACACTACACCTACTCACCAATACTAAGACGATATGGAACACTAAACCCGAAATACTTTCCCAATTACACTAACAGCCAAACACTAACTAAACTACAATATCCAACAGCCAAATCTAACACTAAATAATTATTTATAACACTAAAAGATATGCTAAAGACTAGGATATGCTAATGCTATATGCTAATGCTGAACTACCGCTGACCTCCTACGCTCGCTTGCAAATCCAACTCCCACTCGCCACAGGGCGTGGCCGAGACGCTCGTTGCTTTTATAACTTTGGCACGGAGCTGCTACGTAGTACTCTACTGGTTTACGTAGTACTTTACTCTTTAGCCATTGGCTAAAATTTATTCAAAATGACTCAAATTCTATGTTTTCAGCTGAAGGTGGTGCATTACTGTGGTTTTTAGACAGAATTTTTAATTTTTAAAGAAAATGCACCAAAATGCTAAAATAAAGAATGCACACATTTAAAACACTATTAGACACTCATTTATGCAGTTCATCAGCAAAAAAAGTTAATTTAGACGTTACTTGCTCTTTAATGATAAGATTGCTGACGTAATGAAAGAAACAATAGTGGAGACTGAACCAAATGGAAATGATGGGGGTTATTCAGAGCACCGAGAGCAACCAAACACTACAACCTCACTGGTAGCCGAGATAGCCAATGCACCTAAGACACCTGATGAACTCCTGTTGGAGAGGTTAAATACGGCTTGTGCCAATGAGGCAGAAAGGAAAAACAAGAAAAGATGTCTAGCATTGCAGACTGCTACAAGTGTGAGCGCAGTACAGTCAGACGATGTGTCGCCAGCGAAGAACCCTGTGAAAGAAGGCAAAGCTAAGATACCACCCGAGCTTTTAACTGAGGTGTAGCCTCCCTGAGAGTTCTCAGTGCAGAGATAGCTCAGATTAAGGAGACTCTACAGCAGCCGGTGCCTTGTCCTCAGTCATATGCCCCACCACCAGCTATGCAGTATGATAGAGGCCAGCAGCAACAGCAGTATTATAGCTTCCAGGGCCCCAGTCAACGACCACCACCCCCTCAGTATCCTACACAGGTAGTCCAGCCCGTCGTGAGAGGAGGTGCCACTGTTGCCAGCAGGGTGGAGTCAACGAACGCTGCACACACTGCTACCTCTGGGGGAGTGAAGAACACTTTCAGGCTGGATGTAGAGGCAGAGGTATGGGAACATATAAAGAGAAACATTTAAACTAGCAATGGTTACCACCGAGGGGCGAGTGTTAACCATGCCCATCATCCACAAGTCCCAACATTGCTCCAACTGTAAACAAGAAAAGTCAGGCATGAGACGGTGTCCAGCATGTAAAAATGCACTTTATTGTTCAAAAGCATGCCAGAAACGACACTGGAGACAACATAAGAGACAATGCACTGGCTTAAAGACTAACAAAGACAATGAGACTGTTCAGGTACCACTGCCGCAAACTCATGTAAACATTCCTCACAAAGTCACATCTCTGGTGGGCAGGCAATGTCTGGTTGAGTGTCTCTTGGATGGCCACATGCTTCAAGCTCTATGGGACTCAGGCTCACAGGTATCAATCATCGATGAGAAATGGAAAGAGAACTATCTGCCACACACAGAGCTGAGAGATGTAGCAGATATCATGGACACATCTGAACTCACCCTGACTGCAGCAAATGGGACCAACATGCCATACCTTGGGTGGGTTGAGACAACGTTCCAACTTGTTTCTGGAACTGAACAAACGGAGAAATTGACCATCCCCATGTTGGTAATGAAAGGTTTTCAGCTCACATGCCCTATTATAGGTTACAATGTCATTGAATACATTGTGAATGAGGCTGACCAAGCTAAACTGTACAGCACAGTGAGGAAAGCATTTCCCAGTCTCAACAGATACAAAGTGAAAGCGTTTATACAGGCTGTTAGTGCAGATACAGTTAACGAGTACAACGTGATGACAACGAAAGACTGTATTACTGTACCTAAACAAAGCCAAGTGCATGTTGAGGGTCGTATAGCAGCAGGGCCATTTAAACAGGACATGGTCATGATATTTGAGCCAGACTTAAACCCTCAGTGGCCAGACAATCTTGAGTTTTTGACACTTTGGTTAATGTTAAAAAGGGTGCCTCACCGGTCATAACACTAGGTGTCTCTAACCCCACTGACCATGAAATTGACATTCCAGGCCGTACATTAGTTGGCTGGGTCCAGACTATTACAGGTGTTTTACCTGCCCAGATGTTTGAAAAAGCCACATCTGTAGCTACTGTTAACCAGACAAACACACAAGCTCAGTGTAGCTCCAGTGAAGAGTGGGACCCGCCTGTGGATCTTAGCCACCTGGGTGAAGAACAGGGAGTACTGGCGAAACAGATGCTCAGAGAGGAATGCCATTCTTTCTCTAGAACAGACAATGATATAGGCTGTATTGAAAAACTGAAAATGACCATCTCACTCAAAGACAACGAACCAGTCAAATGCACATACCTGTCTGTGCCACGGCCGCTCTACCAAGAGATGAAAAGTTACCTGCATGACTTAATAGCACAAGGCTGGGTCAGAAAGTCAGACTCATCATACTCCTCACCAGTCGTTTGTGTTAGAAAAAAAGATGGTACCTTAAGACTGTGCATAGACTACAGAGACCTGAATCGGAAAACTCATCCTGACCACCAACCCATTCCACGCGTCCAGGACATTATGGACAGTTTGGGTGGAAATTCCTGGTTTTCGCTTTTAGATCAGGGAAAAGCGTACCACCAGGGGTTCATATCAGAAGGAAGTCGTCCACTAACTGCCTTTGTGACCCCCTGGGGATTATATGAGTGGATCCGAATCCCCTTTGGATGCCCCTGCAGCATTTCAGCGCTGTATGGAAGAGTGCCTGGATGGGCTGCGCGACAACATCTGCATCCCCTATCTGGATGACACATTAGTCTACAGCAAGATGTTCAAAGATCACTTGGAGGACGTGAGAAAAGTGCTCCAGAGATTGAGAGGTTTTGGCATAAAGCTTAAGCCAAGTAAGTGTGACATGTTTAAGCCTGAGGTGTGCTATTTGGGCAGAATAGTGTCTGCAGAGGGCAGCAAAGTGGATCCTGCAGACCTTGAAGCAGTCAAAGCACTCAAAGGTATAAAACCACAAAATATTGGTCAGCTCAGAAAAATGTTAGGTCTTCTCTCCTACTACAGACAATAAATAAAAGACTTCTCCAGAAGAGCAGGTTGTTTGTATGAACTGTTAAATGCTGACAAGACCAAAAAGGACTCAGTCACCACAAGAGAACCAAAGGCAAAAACAAAGAGAGCCAGTCAAGTTGTGCCCTCCTCAAAACTAATTGTGTGGACTGACCAGCATCAGGGTGCACTTGAGGAACTAATAGACAGTTTGCTTCACCCACCGGTGCTGGGATTCCCAGATTTCACACAGCCGTTCATCTTACACACAGACGCCTCACACAAGGGGTTAGGTGCCGTCCTGTACCAGAGACAAGATGGTAAGCTGCGAGTTATTGCTTATGGCTCCCGTACTCTAACAGCAGCTGAAAAAAACTACCACTAGCATGCAGGAAAACTAGAATTTTTAGCATTGAAGTGGGCTATCACTGACAAATTCAGATACTATTTGTACTATGCCCCAACATTTACTGTCTATAGCGATAACAACCCGCTAACATACATTTTGTCAACAGCCAAACTGAATGCCACCACATCAAGATGGGTCGCTGAGCTCGCTGATTTTCACTTCACCATTAAGTACAAACCAGGAAAGGAAAACAGTGCACCAGATGCTTTATCAAGAATGCCACTTGATGTAGAAACCTTGATGAGAGACTGCTCTGAGGAAGTGCCACCGGACTCTATCTCAGCTGCTATCCAGGCCATTGCGGTACAGAAAGACACACCTGCTACATGGACACTCTCAGCTGCAGCAATGTCAGTGACAGCAGAAGGTGAGCCAGCAGCAGCAACATTCACACCCATACCAAAAGGACAGCTTAGTGAAGTGCAAAATTTTGATCCTGTTATAAGCCCTGTATTACAGAGTAAACAGACAGACTTAAAACCACTGCCCAAAGAGCTAAGAACTTTTGACCCTAAGACAAAATGCTTGTTCAGAGAGTGGGGCAAGTTAAGGCTAGATAACAATGGCATCTTGTATAGACTAACGTCTGCCCGGAAACAGCTAGTCCTGCCCGATCAGTTCAAAAGGGCTGTGTTTGAAGAGCTGCACAATAATAAGGGCCATCAGGGTGTTGACCGCACAGTGTCTTTGATACGTGAACGCTTCTTTTGGCCACACATGCAGGCAGACGTCGAGCATTATGTGACCAACGTTTGTTCCTGTGTAAAGCAGAAAAAGCCCAGCCATGAAATAAGAGCTCCCTTAACAAACATTGTAACCACGCAGCCCTTTGAGCTAGTGTGAATAGACTTTCTCCATCTTGAAAAATGCAAAGGCGGTTATGAATTTATTCTAGTTATAACTGACCACTTCACACGTTTTGCACAAGCCTATGCCACCACCTCAAAGTCAGGCAAAACTGCTGCAAATCTGATATTCAATGACTATGCCCTAAAGTTTGGCTTCCCCTGTCGCATTCACCATGACCAAGGAGGTGAATTTGAAAATCAGCTATTCAGTCAGCTCAAGAAACTGTGTGGCATGGCCGGTTCTAGGACAGCACCCTATCACCCAATGGGGAACGGTCAAGTTGAGCGTATGAACAGGACATTGTTGCAAATGCTTAGAACGCTAACTGAAACACAAAAGGCAAACTGGAAGGAATCCATCAATAAGCTTATGTATGCATATAACTGCACACATTGCGAAGTCACTGGCTACTCCCCATTTTACCTACTGTTTGGACAGTCACCCAGGCTACCAGTAGATATGCTCTTTGGACTGTGCTCAGAAACAGATTCTAGTGACCACAGAGACTATGTTGAAAAATGGAGAAAGGGCATGGAACAAGCATACTCTATAGCAAATGAGAATGCAAAGAAAGCTGCTGAAAAAAGCAAAAGACACTACGACACAAAAGTAAGGAGTTCTGTGTTACAACCTGGCGAGAGAGTTCTGGTCAAAAACCTGACACCTAGAGGAGGCCCAGGGAAACTGAGAGACTATTGGGAGGACACTGTTCACACAGTAGTCAGACAAATGGGGCCTGACCTCCCTATCTAGGAGGTAAAATTCACGGCCCAGCTGGAACTTTTCATCTTATCAGCTGGCTCTTTAAAAGCGGCCAGCTGGAGCTCATCAGGGGGAGAGAAATGTTTGTGGTTGCAGAGGCAACGTGTGTTCTCTCCCCGTTGGTGGTTACCTAAGATTTTGTGGTGTAAACCAGTTTGTCTACTTCTAAAGAAGTGACTTTAGAACATTTTGAGTGGTTGGGATTATTTTGAGTTAACTGGTAAATCTTTGGTTTTTGGTGTGTCTGCTAGACCATCTTGTGGTAAATTACCTGGTGGGGTTTTCCCCTTTTGCAGTCCCGGGTTTCCTGAGCTGTTTTTGGTGTGTTGGTAACCTTAGTTAATTTAGAACTTTTAGTTTGGTTTGTCTTCTAGACAAACCTTGTTTAAATACTTGGTGGGATTTTTGCCCCTTTTTGAGTTTTCATTCCCTTTTAAATAAAGGAGATTTAATTTTAGGATATATAGAGTGGTTGGTCTTCTGGTCAGTTTCCGTTAATTAATTAAGGTTAACTTAGTTAATTCCTAGAAAAGAGTTTTTTGGCCCTTCTTTTGGTTCTTCTTTAATTTTGGTAATAAACACTTTGAAAATACAAGGACACTGAGTTGTGTTTTGCTTGGTCAAGCCTTTTTCTCCCCAACGAGGGCCACTTTTTGTTATACTGGTCCATCTTATGTTTATTCCCCTCTCCCTCCTAGCCGAGCCCACAGAG